ATTATACTATTGATTATAATATGTTCGATTTTACATTCCTGACAATTATTACAAAATGCGAGGAGCTACCGTATTGAGAACCCCTTTCCGGTTATCGACAAATTTATGCTCGGGCCCTATCATACCAACAGTTCCGTACGCTCCATCGTAGTCCATGCGCCATCTCTACGATTTTTCTAGTTGAACACTTTACATTGGCCCTGTTCATCTCCCCTATAATCTCTGGTCGTATCCAAGAATGCGGCGAATCCATGCACGTCGTACGTAAGATGTAACAAATTACGGCTGCCTGTATAGGTGTGTGTGTGCGTGTGTAAACTGTAAACGTTCCTCAGCAGTTTTCCACTTCTCGCCCGTGTCAGTGGTCGTGATGTTTCTAAAACAATGAAAAAATAACAAAGAATGAAAGAAACGGGGAATCCGGTGATATGAGTTATGCAGTGACAACCCACACGTACCGTAATACGATAGAGTTTAACCTCAATTTGACACTTTGCATTATCGGAGCGAACAATTGAACTGTTGATAAGAAATATAAAGAAACAAGTTGAAGCTTATTATTAGTGATTGGATAGATGAGTCTACAGGACAGCCTCTTTGCTGAGGAGATTGAGAACGACGTGACGCTTTTTTCAGAACAGAAAGGAGCCAGGCGGTGAGTGAATGACTGTTCATTAATTCATTGAATAAATTAAGCAAAGAAATTTATGATTTTTCTATTTAGAACTTTTGTTTGTTTACTTCATTATCTATTCTTAGCAGTAAATTGCGTTAATTTTGTGTTGTGAAGGTTAGATCCATCTATTCTTAGATCACTGGCCATTGCGTTTTTGTACGGCATCATCTTGCGATTAACCCTCTTTTAATAACAAGAAACGAGGATAAATATTCCTACGTGATTAATTAACTCTGATGATTCTTTGGGCTCTTGAGAGGGGAAATTTACTAGATTGAAGATAATTCCTTGTAATGTGAAATATTGAAGCTGTGACAGAACAGCCGAAGTTACTCGTGGTGATTTCCATGTTGACAGGCTTTGCATATTTTGTTTTTTTTATTTTATTCTCTCTCACCTCCCACGTGGATACTACGTACTATCCAATAGAATTGCGCAATGCATCTGATTCAAGGATAAAACGTAACTGTGATTACTAGAGTAGTGAAGAATTCTCGTTTCCGTTATTCAGGAATATGACTTTTTTTATTTTATGATGAGATACTATGATGAAATTGAATTGATGACTTCAATTTTGTAGTTACGAGAGTAGAGAAGCTTATGGATTTTTTTTCCCTGTGTAGAGTCTGATAATTGATTAGCATTGAATTTTAATTAAGATAATTTTCCTTGATCTAGACCCAGTTCTTTATGTTTTTCAATTGATTCATCTATTGATTGCAACTAAATAACATTCAATGCTCAAGTAAAATTGTTTGAATTCACAGATTTTAAGCGATGAGTGAATTTTGCAAAATCTGCTTTGTAGGGAATGTGCTCATTAGGACAGGCGCTCCATATTCCCCCCGTAAAATCAATCATTTCCAGAATGATTGCATGAGCAACAGAATTGTTAAGTGAAACCTTGTTCGATTCATTTCAGAAATTGTTAAATTATATCAGTAATGTGCACTGAGAAAAAAAACTACTTGTGCCAAGTAGATTTACTAACTACAAGAAAATTTACACATGTCTTATGCAAATATTGATATACATTTATGGCAAGTAAATATACTTGGCAAAAGCAATTTTTTTCTCAGTGTGTGATGGCAGGGAAAATTATGGGAAGACCTCTTCTGTATAAAATTCGGTAGTCAACAATAAAACATTGCGTGACATTTTCACATGCAATCATTGGTGCTTTAGCGAATAATTCTAACAAATTGGAAGCAGGGAAGAGAGGCGTTGCAATGAAATCATGTTCTTTGAATAATTGATGACATTAAAGTTCAATCGTTACTGGTGATTTACTAGAAAATTAGTATTTTTAGAGATATCAAGATAAGTCTATTATAAGGTTAAAGATAAATAAACAGTTCATTTATCCCTCGTGACATGCAATATGTTCAGCTACTAAGAAAAAATTAATAAATACATTACTTCTATCAAATAAAAATACAAAGCTCTATTTGTCGCCAATTTCATAGGAAAAAAATTGAACCATGCGTAAATTTAATCAGAAATTTTCCTTTAAGGATATCCAAGTACTTCGTTCAAATTGGCAACCTTTTTTCAAGCAAGATTTCAGTTTTGTCGAAAATCTTGCCGTCCCCATACTTTTTCGGATTTTTCATTGTCGAATACATTTTTTCAGGAATTTCTTCAATGAATATTGTGAACAATATTTTATTCAATTTCACACTTGACTCTCGTTGGTCTAACCTCTGATGATCATACGGCAACACTGTACATGTGTTCCATATAACCTCGTAAATTCGGTCCGAGTAGTCACTTGAGCGGACTGTTGCCAGACGTCAGGACCACACGGATTCAAATCACCCAATATGGCCGTCGTACCAATCAAGAAGCTTTTAATTTGATTATTTGCAATTATCTATCCGGAAACTTATGTTTTTTAATATCGCAAAAAAAAAAACTAGAGAGTATAACGAACAAAGTCATATAAGGTTATGTGTACGAGAAAACGCTTTAACACTATGAACTATTGGATTGAAAGTGGTAGTATACAGCTGTTATGGACGCAATGTGTTAAATTTCATTCTTTCAAAAATCGTTTTCTCGAAAATATGTTCGGAAACTAAAGTTTATACTGCGCCTAAAAAATACTCTTGGTCTAGTCTATAAACTCTGGAGGGAATTTGCCTCCAGAACTACTTGGATATCCTTAAGGGAGAATCGTGGTGAAACTTAAAAGTCTTTGGTCGGTGGAGGGAATCATCAATGCATGATATGATATGAAAAAAGTCATAGAAATGTTGAATCTAACTCAAAATGCTCTCTACTCCAAAATGAAATGTCTTTGAAAGTGCCCTCGCCGTTTCGACGTAAAATGCTCCCTGCACCTAAATTTTCATCCGATTCAAACATTTTTTTTAATGATCGTTGGGCTCCGAAGAATAAAATTAGGCATCTCATTTTCGTTATTGGTACAGATCATACACTGTAAAAAAATTGGTGTTAATTTGACACCGATCAGTGTCTCAATGAGTCCACACCGGATTTTTTACTGTGTATAATAAAATTTTTTTTTTCAACTTCTTGTGATTACCTTTAACTGTCTCACTTCCTAGATAATGATATAATCAATAAAATCATTGTATTATCCCATTCGTTGCTGAAAAGATTGTAATATAATTTCTTGATTTATTCTAAAAGAAGTCTCAAAATATTGGAAAACCCCTTGAGCGTTCGATGAATAGAATGTATGCACACAACGCAGTGTCGTAGCATAATCCTTACATCACCGATTGCGTCCCAAATTCGTCATTGAGACCAGCACACACGTTCCCCACAAATACAGTATTTTGACGGTACATGGAACCAGAAATGGGGGGGGGGGGAC